CCCGGAAGTTCAGGCTCAACCCCCTCCTCCCGCAGCGTACTTTCACCGACCTAACTGTTCTGGCCCTCGTGTTAACGACGCCACACTTCAACTTCGTGCCTTGCTCGTCCTGAGGTGAATTGCGAGGAGCGGCCAGCGAAAAAACCAACGAAACGAATACGGATCATGATCAGTCAGGAGGCACATGCATCATGGGCTGGATACATATTCTGAATTTTAAATGTTGACGTCCTAAACCGAATGATACAGTAATGTGACAAAATACAAACCGCTCATCAAATTCCACCGTTGGCAAGTCCAAGCCTTCAATAGTGCCATGTCGCTATTGATTAATGGTATTAATACATAATATTTTGGATCAGTCCTAATTAGCAGGTTTGATTTGAATTGGCCACATGTGGGTGTTGCTCTGGATGTCCGGAACAACGGTTGTGGTAGGTGGGCAACTAACGATTTCCTACGGCCCGGCCCGGCTCATATCGCCCCGACCCGACCCGACCCGACCCGACACTACCCTACCTGACCCTACCCTACCTGACCCGACGCTACCTGACCCGACCCTACCTGTCCCGACCCGACCCGACCCGACCCGGTCCAACCCAACCTAACCTGTCCCGACCCGTCCCGTACCGTACCGTACCGTCCCGTGCCGTCCCGTCCCGTACCGCCTCGCCCCGACCCGGACCTCCCGACCCCGCCTCTCCCGCCTTCCAGACCCCTTCCTTCCCCGCGCGTCTGGAACGCGACCGGATGCCGGCCGCGCGCCGCGCGACATCTGGCGCCGGAGAGAGTCATTAGCGCGCGACGACGGCGCGGGGGAGGGCGGCTCGAATGCCAAGGGCAGGCCGGGGGAGGGTTGGGCTGGTGGTGTTCGCGACCTGTGGGACCTCGTTCAGCATAGAATGGCCCCATGTGCGGATGGCTGTTAAGCTGTCTTCGTTTTCAAAAGTCACGAGATTTACTCAGATGTCTTCAAGAATTAGTTTTTTTATTAATAAAATATTTGTGCTGGCCTTTCCTGCCTTTCGACCCTACATTTGTGTGATTAGTGCCATGTTGTAGATTGTGCCCTGTAAGGGAGTAGTCTATTACAAGGATATCAGAGTGGTCTACTCTCCACAACTAAGTAACACCCAAAATTTTCCTACGGTACTGGACTTGCAGCCTTCGTACAATTAATAAATTCTTCGTTACATCGCCAATGGAAATGAACAACGACGTTTCTAACTAGGTTATCGCGATTGGTAAGTTTGTTTGCAGTATTTGGACGTAATGTGGCTTTTAAGATAATTAAATCATAAGACAGCGATTTCAAGGGACATCATTCTTGTTCGCTTCAAGATTTTTTACGTGAGCATGGCTACATTGAGTGTAATTGCCAATGTGGCACTGGCCGGACCTATGTCTAACACAAACTTTCAAGGGAAGGAACTTCCTGTGGTTTCCGTACCTAAACATCATATAGAAATACAAGTACAATAATCGAATTTTCAAAGTATTGAGTGAGAACTAAAGTTTGGCTTGCACTTGAAAGGCATTAACAAATGAATATCGGCATTGCTTAAATATGTCCCAGCATTCATCGTATTATTCATAAGAATTCTTATGAATATCAGTTTAAATTTGTGTCAGAAATTTTATCTGCAATTCCTCCTGCAGGGCGGATGAAGTTTACACCCCTAACATCGGTTTCTGTCACGTCTTCCCCTACTGGAATTTCGAGTATCCCCCGGGCACATATTTCTCTGACTTCGTAACAGCGCTCTAGAAACGAAGACAGCGGATACCTTAGGGATGTTCAGAATGCCTTCCACGTTTTAACGATACTGTCATCACTATGAACGTACCTGACCCGACCCGTTCTATTTTTCGTTACTCTTTCAAATCAGTCTTGCGTGATTTAGTTATGTGGAAAGTCTGCATGAAAGAAACAATATTCCAATGAATACTTAGGACTCTTTTGTTAGTTAAGGTCTCATCAATTTCTAGGTCATTAGCGACCACTATTGCTTGTAATGGTATAGTAACTGTGACGATGACACGATATGATGATGGTAGGGGTGAAAGGACGAACACAATACAACCATGAGCGAGGTGGGACCCGAACCCGCACTACTGCCCTAGCGATCTCGGCCACCGGATCGGCACTTTTGACTTTGTCTTATGTTTAGCCCATTATATGTTCCGTCCCAATCGAAGTGAAAATGATTTGTGGAATTTCATCTCTCAAATATGTGTGTCATATCCCATTGCTTACTCTAGATGATATGCTGTAGATCAAGGGGGGTCACTGCCAAATCAACTTTTTTTTCCCCTTATGGAATAGCATTAGTGCTTATATTGTTGTAGGACATACACCTGCAATCCGAGCTCGGCCGCGAACGAGTGTGCCAACTACAGTACCGGCAGCTTATAAGCGACTCTGAGAATTCAATGCGCTGTTGCCACACGTTACTACGCATATGGCTCTAATTACATGACAGATCAATGACATCTCAAAACTTTAGCAGTTACTGACTGGCTATAATCCATCTTGATATCATGTTCATAATTTTCGCCTGAGTCAAACCTCATCACCTCCGAGATGTGGTGTGAATTGGATGAGCGACAACGCCGATCTCTAGCTGTGAGAAAGTAAACAAATCCTCGCAAGCTGATTGCTTCAGAGCAGGTCACATGACATTCAACGTCACGTGGCGAGAGAACTGTCAAGAGTCGCTATACGCTGCCGGCACTGTAGCTTCGTTGTTGACATGCACATTCAACCCGTTTAACGTATCTCGCTCTCCCGTCGTGAGCGCTCGGTTCGTCCTCGCGCCAACTCCGTCGCCGCCTCCGCCAACGCCTCCGCCGTCCGTTACGAGGAGCGTGTGGAGCGGTCGTATTTTTTTAAGGACGCTGCAGTGGTATTAAGCGCGCTGCCTTGTAAATTTCTCGGAAGGACGGAAATAGATCTCGGAACTAGAGCTCGCTTTCGTGTGCGGCCGCCACTGCAAGCGCGCTTCTGTCTTCGGAGGTCGCGCTTTGGCGCTGATGTTTGTGGAGATAGTGGGTGGAATTGAGGGTGCGAAAGTATCGCCTTGGGTCGATTTGAGGAAAGTGTCGCATACTCTATAAAAACCAAGCAACCAGTTCTTCTACATTGTTATCGTCTTAGCAACGTACGAGCTATTCGTATAATGCAATGTATGTGAGTAGTTAATTCACAATAATCATAATCTCAAGCAGCTGTTTTATTACTGATATTTTCAGGCACCGCAGGAACAATAGTTACAATAAATGTCAAATATATTAATGATATCACTTAACACTTTTCGACTAGCATATGACTTAAAATATATGCCATTATTGCATTATTTAAAAAAAAGTTCTTAAAGTTAAACAATATTGTATAAATTACATGTATATCCATATCGCAAATCAAAAATTTTATACATTTTAGGATATAATATCTAAATACAAGTTTGAAAGGCCTGTTCATCGAAGCACGGTCTTTAGAGATTTTACAAGAGCTGAGAGAAAAACCTGTGCCACCTATTTGTAGGACTTGTTTTCAAACGTCCACATCAGACGTACTATGTTAGTCAAAAAATGTCTACACTGTTTTAAATTTTATTTTCAATTCGAGCGACCTCGTAGATAGAATTTAGATATGGATGATAAATTTCATAGATTGTTATTGTAGTGTGTATTAATGATGATATATATCACAGCTATATATTGCTGTACTGTGATACTTATTCGTAGCAGATGTCGTGATGACGCACTTTTTTCTCTGCATATTTTCAGGTTGATGTTCTTAGTTGTAGTGGGGATTTTAGTGGTGTTTTGTGACAAGTACAATAATTAGGAGATTGTTGTAGGTTTTGTATATGGATATGAAAGTTTTGCTTTTTACGATTTGAGTTTCATTTTAGTCCAAGAACAGTAAAAATTATACGTGCCGTATGGGGAAGTACTATTGTAAAGGCCTTGTGTAACACGACTGTCTTTCGTACCATAAAACGCATTAATAGCTACGTAGTGTCAGCCGGTTTTTCATTTAGGTTATCTCTAATTAATCATCCGAAGTTCGTCTTTACTTTGCTGCTGTTAGTTCATGTAAGAGATCGAGAAACTTTGGATTGTTTCTTCCAAAGTGCCCAAAGACGTCCAGATTTTAGGTGTTCTTAAAGTTGAACAAGGTTCGTAATAGTTTGTACGTGTGTAGCATATATTACACTAGATCTTTCGTAAACAATTCTGAAGAGTCAAACATAATTTCTCTGACAGATATTATGCTGTTCACTTTGCCCCTGTTAAATTGTTTTTATTTATTAAATTAAGTATTATAATTTTTTTTATATGCGAGGCTTAAAGATTCCAGTACTGTTCTTAACGTATTTTGTTGCAGTCAAGAACTAGTGTACATTACACATCGTACATCTCAAAATTATAACAATAAATATTTTCATATTGTGGTATTCATTTTCTTTTGGCTAAATGTAAAACTTCAAAGATTGATTCTAGCCATAAATATTGTCAGTGAATTATTAAAAATGTTTGGAGATGGAGAACACTTTCTTCTACAACAGGAACGGCGAAGAGAGCGAAAACCGTTATTTTCCATGTAATTTCACATTCTAACACATTTAAATTTCAATTTCGTTAGTTGCGCAATTCCAGAATTTACCTTTCCCGACCGCCACTTTCGCTTGTTTGCTTTGAGAGCGACGTTGCAACTGCCTCTGGTGCGTTATGCATGACGTTTATACATTGCGAATGTGCAGCGTGCGACGGCAACAACGTTTTTTTCAATCGCGAGCGAAACGACGGTTGTAAACGCGAGTTTAAACGTGAAACTCCGAACTAGTGAATTTGTAAAACAGCGGCTCGCGTTAAGAATGTCCAAATCACTAATCGCGACGCTCGCTTTTGGCCAGTGAAGTTTGTATTGTGCGTACGGCGACACGACATTTGTGACAAGTGTTCCCAAAAGCATAGCCGCGATGCGTTTATAAATGCTGGTGAATTGGGCGCGTGTGTTTTGTATCGCAGACGGATGACAGCTTCCTGTCGGGTGATATGACAGTTGAAACGGAAGCGTATTCTCTGCGTCATTTGCCACTTTATTCTATCCGTTGTTGTGCCAGCGTGAGGTCCGGGATAGAATCTATTCATGGAAGTAAACTTCCTGGATTGCCGTGTTGTTGACGTGATTTAACATTCAGACAAAGCCAGTTATTCTCCAACACTGAGTGACAGGTTAGTGGCGAATACCAAACTAATACACTGTTAATTTAATATACATGCCACGTAGTAGCCAAATTCATAATGAAAGTTAATCCAAATGTTAATCCAAAACTGTTTGTTTTCTTCTTTTATTAAATTTTTCTTTTAAAGTGTGGTCATGTTCTCACTAGTCAATACATCCCTAATATTAATTAAAATCTTATGATATCGTTGTGATTATGATTATTAGTAAGTAGTAGATTATTAACAATTTTTTTCTTACTGTTCAATTTTCATTCGAATTTCACTTTTACAAATTCTTAGTTGCATGTTGGTCTATTGATGAGTTTTTAACGATTTTTTATGATCCTTACCGTCAGAATTTTATTGAAAAACAGAATAGATGCAAACAACTCAGTCGTTGGAAATGTTTGTGTTAAAAGTTTGCCTAAAGTGTGATGCTAAGTTTGAAAATTTAAATCTACAACGGTACGGTCATAAGCTTTCCATTGTTTAAGTTTCGATAATCCATAATCGACGGTTATTATTCAACATTATTACATAATAAAGTAACAGGGATTGTTAACATAATTTTGTCTAACTGTGGTTTTACATTTTTGAAATTATTTGATCGTACTCCAGGGAAAATATGAAATCTCTAACATAGTAAATATTTTCAACGGAAATTTCCAGGAAATGCCTTGTTTTATTTTCCTTTCAATATGATTTAATTTCGAATTTCCCTGCGCAAATTGGCTNNNNTTCGGCCGATTGCCATGATTCAATGCAGGGCCGGATTTAGGTACTGCGAGATCCCAAGCACTAAATATTATATTTGCGACGACTTTACGTGATGTATATGTATTCGTGTGTTTGTGAGAGTTGTGTTGTGGAAGTTGTGTGGCGAGAAGCGGTGTAGTTTGGTTTTTGTCGGTGTGTATAATAGTTTCAGTTATGTAATAGTTGTATTGGGCGATTGCTTGTTTGATAAATTAATATATAAATAAATACAGTTGTCTTGACCATCCTCTACGGAATAAAAAAAGTTCTTCAGAATTTAGTGAAAGAAACAAGTATAGTGAAATAATGTTTTGAACAAATATATTTTTATATATATGTTTTTTTTACATTTTTAATTTTTGGGCTGCTTACATTTTTTTAAGTAAATTCGTTTAATTCACAGAATTCTTTAATTAATACAAACATAAATATTTGATGACATTTCTTTGGATTATTTTCTGAAATTTTTGTCGAATCCCTAAACAACATATTTTTTTGTTACTTAAATTTCGCCCTAATTCTGTGGCCATTCAATAGTAAATTTGGGCAATTTCTTCTTTAGAAGAGAAACCTCATATTTTTGTGCATTTTGATTTTTTGTTTATTCATTTCTTCTTTTTCACCATATTAGTTACAATCTATTAATATTTCTTTTTACTGGATTTTTTCTTTAATTGTAATTTAGTTCACTGTATCTCTTCAGAATTTTTTTATTCTAAGTTTTAGAGATTAAGAGAAGAAGCATTAGTTCGCTTTACAAAGCAAAAAGTTGAAAATAAATGTTACTCTCGTTAGTAAAGCAAGCAATATCTGCACTTTTGCTTGAACATGTAATCTATAAATCCACTTTTTTCAATTAAATTGAAATGGAGACAAAATTTACCTGACTAGGTCATTGAGGTTTAGTTTTTAAATTCTGCATCTTTCACGCACTGGATATAATTCAGTTAGTGTGCGCAGATTGAGAATTGGCAGAATAACACCATGGAATATGTAAATTTTTCAGACAAAATCCAAACTGTTCAATCGTGTTTGTATTCTTCTCGAGTTCTTGATTAACGAAACCATGAACACTTTTAACACAACGGGAGGCTGCTTAATTTCGTTGAAATTCTGTATGCTTTAGAAAGTATTAATATATCCACTTGGAAATATATCGTCTCGCTCACGAGTGTCTTTTCCACATCTTTTTTCCGATGCGTCAAGTAACCGTAATATTATATATTCTTTGGGATCTGCTTTCAAGTCTGTTCTATGTACTTTATATTGACACTCCCAACCGTCTTAGGTTTGCCCTTGGTCATAGTCACCCGAAAGATGTTGTGGGAGATTTGTGTACAAGAGAAAGTGAAAATAATTTACCTTCTCTCTCTTTCTCTCTCTCTCTCTCTCTCTCTCTCTCTCTCTCTCTCTCTCTCTCTCTCTCTCTCTCTCTCTCAGTAGAAAATGACAGACAGGTGCGTACAAGCAAATTGGGACGTAGACCATTTTAATAATCAGCGTTAAGTAATCGCGTGCCGTCGTTACCGCCCTCTCATCTTCTCGGCCTGCCCGCTTTCTACGCCCGCTCCTCCGCCGTCGCCGCCGCCTCTGGCGCTCTTCCGCGGACGGTGGGCCATCCTTCGGGCCACGCCTCCGCCAATTAATTTCTTGCAGAGCGGGCGTTACGTGAGTGTGAGAGCGTACGTCCCAGTCTGTACCCTTTCCAAACGCGACGCAAATAGCCGGGAGATTTCGGACCGGTCGTTGAGGATTGCGTAGCGCCAGCAAGATTCGATTCGCTTTGGTGTCTTCGAAAATTGGTGAAAGTCCACTCACTCGCCGCTGCCGGATTTGGAGAACTGGTTCCCGACGCGCGACCGGTGGGTGATTGTAAACAACTCCTGGATATGTGTGTTCTCTTCGGTGCCGAACGTCATCTCACGGGGGCTGTAATGTCACTCTGTCAATTGGTCGTCGGATCTGTGCAAGATTGTGTCAATTCTGAGGCAACTTCAACTTCGGTGACAACACAGATAATCGAGTTACAACAAAACATACTTTTCTGAAATTGGTCTTACTTTTGTAATATTTGTTTATTAATGTAGTCGTTATTTTACTGATCGATAACGTGAAGAAAATGATTGTAGATCTTCACTAATTTTGCCCCAATACATGGTTTCCAGCCCAAGTAACGATTTCGACATATAGTGGGTTGCGGCCCTTGCAGATTATATTTCTAATCTCAGTTCTAAGCAATTTGTTTTTTTATGGAAGTGTATATTTACGCTTACGATTATGACTTCCGCACTCTCCTAACGCTCGTCGAACAACATTTCTTGCCCTGCAGTGACCTTCCAATCCCATAATGTTAATCATATTCTTGCATAATAAACACATGCACTTTGTGGTATAGCGATTATAAAGTCGTTTCGCGACATATCAATCAACTTCAATTTTCAGACAGCCTGTCTCAGTGATAAGGAGGTAGGTACACCGTCTTCGTATATCCAAGATCGTGGGTTCGAACCCGTCTGGGAGGCTGAGATTTTCAAGGGTGGAAAATCCTCAGAGTTTCCTGACACGCTTGTGACATCTGAGAGAACCCTGGGTAATTGCTCGGCAAAATTAAAATAACCGAGTATCCCCGTCGTAATCTCACCCCGTATTCGCTCAGACTGGGAACAACACAAGCATTGGATGAATACGACAGATACCAATATTGTGGCGAGCCCTGGCGGCGCACATGGGGGAAAGAATCAAAATTTGGAGATCTGTTTGGCTCCCATGTGGTGCCTTATTGTAAACTGTTCAACGATACAACACATATCGCAATAAAGTTATTTGGCGAATGCAGACTCTTTTGCCAAGAAACTTATGTCTTACAACCGAGACTTGCTACTTACTCCCGTCTAAACGTTTCCAAGAGTTTGCAGTGCTGATGTAATAAATTACTTTTAAAAAGCCGTGTACGAAACACAGTTTCAAATGCTTATTTTCGTGTAGGAAAGAGCTACTTTTAATTCTAACTTATAGTATGCTGAACATTTAAAAAAAAGTCTATTCAGCTCGTGCAGGAGGTGATAAACGCACAGCTTATCTTGGCTTTTGTCGTCCTCTGTACCCTCGTTCGTGCTCGAAGAAAAGGTGCAATATTTACCTTGTCGCCATGGGCGTCACTGCCCAGGGACACGTGCCCCCCCTCCCCCCCAACAATGATTTGTGTTGTGAACGGTATATTGTAACCTGCACCTTATCTACTGAACGGCCCCCTCCTCATAATTGGTGCTGGAGAGACGTCGTCACAGTTCGTCACAGTTGCATATGTGCAGTCTGAAGGTACGTGCACTTGGGGTAGACACTGCCCCAAATGCAGGCCTCCACACGGCGCGGCGTGGCGGCCCGTGCGGCCAACGCCCGTCCGTGCGTATTAGCGCAACCTCGACCTCCAAACCCGTTTCGCGCGTGTTTCGCAAGAGGTCCCTCGCGCCGCGCCTCATTAGATGAGCGGGGGGGAGGGAAGGAGCGGAAGCGAAAAGCGCGTTGGCCAATGAAGGCGGTCGTCAACCTGTACTCCCGAGACTTACGCGCAGTAAATTTAGCAACGTCCACAGTACCAGCTTTTCATGTCCCGGTGGCGACTCTTTCTTTGACACAAAGCGCAAGCAACTAGATAAATTAACGTTGCTGGTGGTGTTGGTCCTTAAATAACTAGTGTTGTGTAGATATCTAGAAATTTATTCACGTAAAATATTTTCGATCTCATCACCAGAGGTTGCAGGCGGCAGAATTTTTTCCCCTCCTAGACTCTGTAAGATCTGATGTTGATCGCTACGCGATGCTAGATATCGTAAGTCTTGGTACCTTAACGACACTCGTTTCTTAAATGGAACACGTGTGGAAAACGCGATGTATAATGGTGGTGATTTAAACCGTACGTTGAACGTGAGTTGGTAGTTGGGTTAAGCAATCGAAAAGAATCGCAATTTGATTGGCCATTTTGACGCCCTTGCCTGCGCATTTCCAAATTAACGGT